ATATGGACAGTGGTCGGGATAATTATTTTAACAAGACAAATTTTGATATATTTTTATTTTTCAAACATTTTTTTAATACAATATTGACTACACAAATTGTATATATTCATTTTGTTTTACGCATATTTAAATGAACGTTATCCAATTGTTATTCAAATTAAATATGCCTGCCACTAAACATCCATGCATAAATACTGATGTACATATATGAACAAAACATACGTGATGATGTACAAGTGCATATTAATATGCTTCTGGCAATGCATGTGAATTCAATTTTTAAATGTTTATCTTAATTCAAATATAATCTCAATTTGTATTAAAGCTCGCAGGAATTTTAATTGAGCTTATACAAATTACATATATTGTATGCATATGTTGACCAACTGTGTGCACAGCAATTTTAAATTTTTATATTACATCCTCAAAATTGCTATTATACCCGTTTGCTCCCAATATGTTTTCTACGACCTATCCAGCTTTGACGACATTTAATCATCTTTGTATTAACTTACAAGCCAATAACATTATAATTAAGAATATTTTTTGTTATAAGCTGTTTGGCTTTTTAAGCTCGTCTTCGGTAGAGCCAGCAGCAATTCCATTAGACATGGAATTATGAAAAGTTGAAGTTTTATTTAACATGTATTCATATTTATTTGTAAAATAATACATATTACCATATTTATGAGTTTATTTAAAGCTTTCCAGTTGAGTAAAGTTTGCACATGTATGTTTTAACACCAATAGTAACAGATAAGTTGTTTACATCAACAGTTACCGATAAATCTTCTACATCCGATCGCGGCCAAGCGAGTCTTTTGGCTCTTTCCATTTGGTGGCTTGCTAGATACACCACGAAGCCCCTATATGCTCTCCTTCCAAAGGCCAAAGGGGATCTAAATAGGTAGCTTTCTTTGACTAAGCACTTTTACTGAAAAAGCAAAGACTATAATAAATGTTTTGAATACAGTTAAGCCTAAAATATCCCGAATATTAAGAATTCCCAGTTGACACTTAAAAACTTTTACAACCTAATTTGATGGTTTAAACACAGAATGAAGAGAAACGCGCACTCAATATTCAAACCAAATGTGTTCGTTTGTCATCAAATGTCATTGTCATCAAATGTCATTGTCATTGTTACAGCACTACAGTATAAAAAAAATACCAAAATGTAGAAATGCATAGTTATTAACAGCAAGCAATTGTAATTTCGAAATATATCTTTCGTTATTCGCTTAAAATAAGATTCACACAATTTTCTATTAATTTAATTGAAATTAATGTAAATACTAGAAATAAGCCTATATTATTAAATTCCTCCAAAAGCCTATCTTACAAAATACCAGAAGTCTATCAAAATGCAATGAATATATATGGCATCAAATACGGCCACTTTATGAATCGACTTGGTGAGGTCGAGACTTAAGTTCGCACAACCAAAACATAATGATTAACTATATAAAAAGAGTAGTATGAAATAAAAATTAAAGGACCAGAGTTTTACATAATTTAATTTTATTTTATAATTTTATATGATAAAAGCCGCTGAAAAATTCAAAATAAGTTTATTTAGTTTTCTCTTAATTTAATTTTACTATTGACCCAAAATGCGGGTACAAAAACATCCATTTTGGTAGTATTAGTTTTGGTATTATACACTTAGAAATAAGTATTTGTAAGTTGTCTCGTAGTATTTTCATTCTTTCATAATACGGTCACACTTTAGTTAGCTGGGTTTTGCCGAGTTTTCGTGTTGATGCATTTATATATAAATACATAAAATAGCGTGAAGCAGTTTTTAACAATGCCTTTACTTGAAACGGATATCTCCAACGATCAGTTCAATAATGATCAATCCAAGCCAATGTCTGGGCCCATCATTGGCATTATATATCCGCCGCCGGAAGTTAGAAGCATCCTTTTACAAAACAAACTCTAAATACATATAATTATTTTAATCTGAAGGTTTTCTTTATGCTCAGTAAACTATATTTAACTAATTAGATATTGTTGACAAGACCGCTAGCTTCGTGGCTCGTAACGGTCCGGAGTTTGAGGCTCGCATCCGGCAAAACGAGCTGGGTAACCCGAAATTTAACTTTTTAAATGGAGGCGATCCGTATCATGCCTATTACAGGCATAAGGTGAACGAGTTCCGCGAAGGAAACGGCAAGTATTATTCCTTGGTCAAATATCGACTTGTATAGTAATGTGTTCCTTATTTAAATAGATTCCAGCAACGCCGCAGTAACTGGTATTAAGCAGCTGTCAGTGACGAGTGCGGCGCAGCAGAGGCAGCAGGAGCTGTTAAAACAGGTAGTAGAACAACAGTTTGTACCAAAAGAGCCGCCGGCGGAATTCGAATTCATTGCTGATCCGCCTTCTATATCTGCGTTAGACTTGTGAGTTGAAGCTGACCAAAATGATTCCTATAATGTTTGAGATTTTTTTTTAGAGACATTGTGAAGTTAACCGCTCAATTTGTGGCCCGAAATGGACGTCAGTTTCTTACAAATCTGATGAGCAGGGAGCAAAGAAACTTTCAATTTGATTTTCTACGACCGCAGCATTCACTATTTCAGTACTTTACCAAGCTTTTAGAACAGTATACTAAGGTACTTATTCCTCCAAAAGATCTTCTGGGCAAGCTGCGTACCGAAAGCGCACCCGGCCGCGCTAGTATGCTTCTAGTGCTGGAACAGGTAAAATACCGTGCCAATTGGCAACGACACCAGGAGGCGCAACGTCGCCGAGAAGAGGAAAAGATAGAACGCGAGCGTGTAGCCTACGCGCAAATCGACTGGCATGATTTTGTCGTAGTAGAGACGGTTGACTATCAGCCGTTTGAAAGCGGCAACTTCCCACCACCAACTAACCCCGATGAAGTCGGTGCTCGTGTGTTAATGGAAGAGCGTTTAATGGAGGAAGAGGGCGACATTGAAATGCAAATCGAGTCTGATGAAGAGGTAGATTCTCCATTGGTTAGTCACATGGACGGTGGTGTCAAACTCTCACAAATGGAGAATCGCGTAGGCATTCAAATGAAGAACGCTACGGCTTATGGGCAGCCAGCAAACGCAAAACGTGATAACACGCAGGTTCAGGACATGGACGAGGCCTCTAGTGATGAGGATACGCCAACTACAAAAATGCAGCCAACTGTCGCGCCCATGCTACCCCCCACACACGACAAGGTTGTGGTTAAAAAATACGATCCAAAGGCGGTCCAACCGAAGCCGGTGCCAGTGGCAACAGATGAATACCTTATATCGCCAATCACAGGCGAGAAAATCCCAGCCTCTAAAGTGTCGGAGCATATGCGCATTGGACTACTTGATCCACGCTGGGTGGAGCAGCGTGACAAGCACACAGTAGAGAAGATCAACCAAGACAATGTTTTCGCAGCAGGAACGGCTATCGAGGCCAGCTTAAAACAGTTGGCGGAGCGCCGTACAGATATTTTTGGTGTGGGTGATGAAGAGACTGTCATTGGAAAAAAGCTTGGGGAAGAAGAGACCAAAAAGGATGATCGCGTCACTTGGGACGGTCACACATCCAGTGTGGAAGCGGCCACGCGAGCAGCACGTGCTAATATCACGCTCGAAGACCAAATACATCAAATTCACAAAGTGAAAGGTCTGCTGCACGATGAAGAAAAAGAGAAAATTGGACCAAAGCCTGTGGGTAACAAAGCGACGCTTTCCGCGCCTCCGCAACCATTATCTTCAAAGAACCAACACACCAGCCACACAAATAGCCAGGCACAGCATCATCAAGGTGGTGGTGTCACTCATCACCATGCTCAGCACCATCATCACCAATCGCATCAGCAGCCGTCGTCGCTCCATCAACACCAGCAGCAGTCGCAACACAGCATGTCGCAGTCCAATCCAGTAATGATGATGCAGAGACCACCCATGATACGTATGTTACATACTTGACTTGTAATTTACATCTAATCGAATCGGATCTGTTTTAGCAACACCTTACGGCGCTGGCACTGGTGGCTACATGGGCATGCCATCTGGAAGCGGCCCGCAGCAAATTTCTCCTGCGCCGCCAGTTGAGTTAATGCCTATTGAGGATGAGCCTCCTACTAAGAAAATACGTTCTGAGGATAACTTGGTGCCCGAAGCAGAATTCATAGCTCTTCATAAGGTTGGTTATGACTTATTGATACATATATATATATGACGACTCATAGATGCTTTATTGTATGTATTAGTCGATGATAATAGGATTATGATATGTAAATATTTAAGATACTACCAGTAGTCAGACGGGCAGGATTGATTAATTTGACACTAGTGTTTTTATATTTATGTATATAGCTTTTTTGGTTTAGACCCTGACACATTTTATTATAAAATTTATTGCAAGTATGTTTTGATTTTGTGCAAATGTGTGGAGCGCAGGTAGAAGGAGGCTTTTCCGGTCGTGTGTATCGTGTAGGGTACCTTCTACTCGGGCATTCTCGACTGCAGAAAACTTACTTGTTTTAATACAAATTTTCTGAAAAATTATTAAAATTTTTTTGCAGAGCCCTGTAACCATACAGGTGCAGGTACCAAACACCGAGAAATCGGAATGGAAGCTTAATGGTCAGATGATTGCCGTTACACTGGCGCTAACCGACCCTATTGCAAACCTAAAGGCCAAATTGCAGGACGAAACAGGCATGCCACCTGCAAAACAAAAAATATTCTATGAGGTAAGCATTGCTCGACTTCGGATTTTACAAAATTCTTCGATTTATTTCGTTCTATTTTTCAGGGTATGTTCTTTAAGGATAGCAATACCATGGCCTTTTACAACCTGTTAAGTGGTACTACGGTACACCTTCAAGTCAAGGAGCGTGGCGGACGCAAGAAGTAACGAAGGAAAGAAATAAGGAGTTTGCTCCTTTTAATAAAATTCATTTGTAACATGTAAAAGTTTATTTTTGTGAATGCTTTTACAATCAATCAATATAAAAATGGTTAATCACAGAATAATTTTGTTAATTGCACTTTAGTTGTATATATCAGTATATAAAATTTGGAGTATGGAATGTGGTGTCCAAAGTGCTTGGGTGATATTCAATATTTAATTCGTGGAGCGCGGAGTTACAAAAGACGACCACGTAGGGATTATACAAAGGTTCAGTGAGCCAATTGACCTTCGAGAACGCGCGCCATATCCCTGTATCGTTGCAACATAGGCGTGTATACGGTCTCACTATCTTTATTCGGCTCGCAAACTAGCTTAAGGTGATTTGGCGTCTTGCTGAGGATGTAGTCGCGATAGCTGTTAATGGGTTCCCTCTGCTCATTCTTATTTAAATAGAAAGCATACGCTGCTCGATATGCGGCACCAAGAAGCGCCGCCTCACTTTCATTCTGTAACAGAGCAACGCATATAAGGAACACACTTAAAAAGGGTCTCTCGTAAACGGAAGAGGTATCACTCACTTGTTTGTAGACAGGTGCATTGAAAACATCAGCAATTACTTGAAGAATAGATTGGTTGACTGAGGCACCACCGGTAGCAAGGATTTTAGTCTGGTTGCCGAAGTGGAAGCCCATGTCCTCCGCAATAGCACGATGATGTAGCATTTGACCCTCCACTAATGCACGAATTTCAATTTGCGGCGAGCTAAATCTATTAGACAAGATACAGGAGGTTATAGGGGGTCACAAATGTTTCTTATCTTACACTCACTTAAGTACACCCTTTACGGCGTCATTAGAACTCGGATGGATGTCCTTGTTCCAGCGAAGCGTTCCTTTCGCCTTGGGTATGATTTCCATTTCGTTAAAGTGCAGAGCCATGTTGCCAAAATTACCACGTGGTGTAGAATCCAGCAACTCATTGAACTTCTCCCAGTTGCCGTCAGCCTCTGATTTATTCATCGCTTCGCGAACCATTGACCCGTTTCTGAAACTAAATTACGAAAGTAGGAGATCTGAAAAGAATGTCAAGCTGGTTTCTATATATTCTAACAAAAATACAAAAAATGTATCCACTTAAACATAGGGAAAATGCACTTTTTGTAAAATTATTGTATACATACCACAAAAGACCCATATATTCATGCGATTCCGTTGGATGGCATAGTACGTGTCCCTCTTCTAGATTAGGCGGTTCTTCCAGACTCATCATCAGCGTGTCGCTGGTACCTAGTGATATACTCAGCCAATTTCTGTCGACAAGCATTCCTGCCAGAGCAGAAGGATTATCGCCCGTGCAGGCAACGACTTTGCATGTAGGCGGAAAGCAAAAGCGCTGCACAAAGTACTCGCTGACATTTCCCAGGATAGAAAACCCACTCACTGCTTCACCCAAGCGATCCTCCAGATCGGGCGCACAAGCATTAAGGCAAGTTTTTGACCACGTTTTGTGGCGAATATCCAACAAGTTCATGCCTGAGCCATCAGCGTAGTCAATTGCCGCTACTTTCCCAAGGAACAGCGAAGCCAGAAAGCTGCTAACCAACGAGATTCTCTGCGCGTCCTCGTATGCGTGAGTACGTTGCTGGTAAATTTTTCGTATTTGTGGCCCCGTAAAGCGCGCATAGCACTTGGAACCAGTCATCTGAACCATTTCAGTCTGTCCACCAATGGCCGTTTCCATTTCGAAGCACTGCTTCAAAGTTGATGCGTCCATCCAGATAGGCGTTCTGTTCACCACAAACGCTGAATCGTCGATTTGCGCATGCAGAAACTTTTCGGCATCTAGAGTCTGTAGAGCAGCAATGCCGTGCTTTGACCAGTACAGGGAGCCATGCTGCTGGGCAGAGCCACTAATGGCAACAACAGTGCTCAGATCAACCTCCTGTATTACCAATCGATCCAGAACAATGTCCATAGCCTTTACCCACATAACAGGCTGAACAAAGTACCTAATAAGGTCTCTTAAATTAGATCAACGAACTTGAAATCCCATAAAATCTACTTGACTTACTCGAACTTATTTGGGCCCGGGTTGGCGCCTCCTGTGGTTCGAAACTCTGGTAAATCACTGTCAAATTTAACCTCTGCCGAGGCAATAACTTTCAGTTCGGCATTTAAGAGAATCGCCTTAAGCTGAAAAAATCAAGTTGTCAGTAGCAATCACAATCAACTATCGTTAGAAGACGGTCTAAAGGGTAGTTAGATGTCAATGCATTCGTCTGGCTATCCCAGCATATACATTTTTATAGCGTCGTATTTGCAAATAAAAAGTTAAAAATTATAAACTCCTAAAAAGTTCGCTAACATTTTATTTTGCCTACCTAATCTCTAAACAAACAACAAGAATCATTGACAAATGGCCCTACGCCCTATACTAAATTTTTGCACAGAAAACCTCCGAATTGGTCGGCGCTTAAGCAAAGGTATGTAGATCTGATGTCATATTAAGTTAGTAAGCAAAGGCTATTGAAAGGAAATAAACAGTTTGCGGAGGCACCTTGAAGATTACGTACAGGTTTACATATAAAAGTCAAGTTCGAGGGTACGAACTGAGCGATAAGCAAATTCTAAATATATATGCATATTAATAAAAATTTGTTTCTGATTAGAAGTGTTAGTAATTTTAGCAACAACCATTTGACCTTTTACAATAACATTTACTAGGCTACATCGACTAGGCACCATCCGCGTGCCGCGTAAGCAAGTGGATCTGAGGTGGTGTCTTCAAAGTCAAACAAACCGTACAGGAGCAAACCATAAACTTGCATGAGCATTTCTTACCTTTTGCGTACTCAAATCGAAGCCCAAAAATGTTTGTTGTGAGTCCTGTTCCTGTTGAGGCATTGTGTTTATATAGCGTTTGTGTTGATCCGCTTTTGAAATAATTATTTTATAGTCGTTTTCTAAGAATTATTAGCTTGCGTAAACTCTAAACAGTATCGTCCACTTGTGAGCACCTTGGGTTTGCTAATAAACTACCATTGACGCTTTGGAAGGAACACACACCCAACTGATTTAATCTTGGCGTCACAGGTGTAAGCATTTATTATTTTTTGTCGGATTGGTGGGATCCACGCTGTTCATCGATATTTTACTTTTATGAGTGGGGCTGATTCGATATATCGAACCATCTAATATCAACTCTGACAATCAATATATTGCATTCGAAGTAAAAGAAATTGAATATCCCCACTGTAGTGCTCTACAGTCATATAATATAGGAACTATTGTCCACAACTATTTCTTTTTCACTTATAAAATGAATATGACACCTTCAATGCAATTTCGGTAAGGGGTTGAGATTGCGCCAAAGCTAAATAATTATTGTTGGCTTGCTTTTTTCTTAATTGCTTTATATTTGTGAATTTGTTTGGTCACACTCGTCTTTATTTTCCTTTAAACTGTTTGTTTTTGTTAACAGTACTATTTGCTCATGACGTAAGAAGTATTGTATGCATTTATTATCACAAAATGGCAACAAACCCCCCAAGTGCATTGTTTTAAAAATATATGAAATCAACATTGAAAAATATTGGCGGGTATTTTCCGGTTTGTCCATAGAATGCTTGTGATTTAAATTTTAGTTGGAATCAATAATAATTCCATAATAAGAATAATATTGAAATTTTAAATATAAAATGGTAAATCAGCTATCATTTGCATTCAATTTCAGATTTTCTGTCTAGTTACACAAAAATAAAAGATTCTCATAAAAAATAACACACTTCAATAGAAATATAAAAAAAGTTACAGCCATTTACATTTATCGACAAGACATCGTATAAGAATATCGAAAAAGTACCAGCATAAGTATCGTGTACACAGTATGATTATTGCCTATCGATGTTTCTCTAACTCATCTATTATTTTACAAATTGACAATTAATAAATTACAATAGTTAAAAGTAAAATGTCGCTGAACTACGAAGAAATGAGTTGGTCAGGTAAATGTTCACATAAGAGACACTTACTATTAACTTTTAGTTGAATAAAAATGCTTTATACACCTATTAGAGCTGAATAGATTTGTAAATTTTGTTAGTACTTATTGATAAAATAAAATGTGTATTACGTGGAATATATTTTCAGATGTCCGAGATCAATTTAGAAAATGGCGCGAGGAGTCTGGACGACACAGCGAGGAGGTGGTACAATTATGGGTAGCCGTGCTCGAAGACAAAGTCCATAAAACAGGCAATGAAAGACACTTGATACTCGAGCAAGTCATTGTTGCTGCTTTGGATACCGCACGTTTCGACATTGCTACAAAGTGCACAAAGCAGCTCAGTGCCGAGTTTCCTGGTAGCTTGCGAGTGATGAAGTTTAAGGCCATGCGATTGGAAGCGCTTGAACAATACGATTCCGCCAACGAAGTATTAGATGGTATAATTGAGAAGGACGAGACAAATGCGGCGCCGCGCAAAAGGAAAATCGCCATAATGAAGGCACGGGGACTGCGCTTGGATGCCATAAAGGAACTAAATGCATATCTGAAAAAGTTGTGAAATATATTTTATATTTAAGTGAGTAAGTGCTAATTATGAAATTTATGTTGTTAGATTCATGTCCGATCAGGAAGCATGGCAGGAGCTCTGCAACTTGTATTTGAGCGAGGGTGAGTACGGCAAGGCCGCCTTTTGTATGGAAGAAGTCCTGCTACACAACCCCCACAGTCACCTGATACATCAGCGACTTGCTGACATTCGCTACACTATGGTAAGTGTGCATCGTCATATTGCGGCTCTTAACACTTTATCTACAACTTTATACATTTAGGGAGGAGTAGAAAATATAGAAATAGCACGCACGTATTACTCGCAGGCTATCAAGCTAAATCCTCACAATTTGCGAGCACTTTACGGTTTGTTTTTGTGCTGCAGCTTTTTGGCTAATTCGAAAGCTGTAAGCTTCAAGCGTAAAGAGTCTCAAAAATTGGCACAATGGGCACTGGAACAAGCATTGGACCACACCGCCAAGCGCTCATCGATAAATAACAATGACAAATGGATAACGTCATTGGATTCTGCATTTGGTACTCTGGAGATCAAGTCAAATTGACCTGCAGTTGCTGCTGATATAGTTAGCATAGATGCGTTACCCAACTAAACGTAAACTTTTCCAAATATGCTTTAAAACGTTACTATAATTTTTAAAGCAGTAACCACCATACCATATACACATATAATACATGTTCATGAGTTTTAATATAAGTGAAATTCAAATTGAATCAAAAATTGCAGTTTAGCCAACCTATATTTCATGTTATAATTTTGTTATTTTTTTTTGCCATCAGCTCGATCAACTTGTAAGCGTAGAGTGCATAAATGTGTATAGCTAGGAAAATTGGTAATTTAGCATTCATTGTCAGCCTCATTATTTGATGAATATCACATATTGCCGTACCAATCAAAATGTTCATCAAATTGAATGATCGTTCACGTATAATAAATATAATAAAATATAAAGTATTCTTGATCAGTTTGCATTGTTGCAGCCAGTATTTATAAGCGAATAGGCCGGATCAGATCTGTACATCATATAAACCAAGGTTGGTATTTCTTAGTTTTACTTCTCAAACTCAGCAATAACGAGCTGACTCCCTGAATATTTTGTTTTTAAATATAAGCGAAATATTGTGTTCCTTGTTCTGACCTTAGCTGAAATTTTGTTTTGTCCATGTGCATTTAAAGCTTGTGATCACTGATGCAGTGGACACATCTTTCCTTTTAATAATAATTTGTTTATCTTTGCTAGTTTAGCATGTTTGCATTGGTATAGGACAATAAGTAAAGACAAAAAAAAACATCATTTTAAATACCTATTTGTTACTTTTTCCTTCAACGCAAATAAATTGATGTACTGGTATTTCAAGTCCAAGCATTCGTCTGACAAATAAAAACATGAAACTTGCCCAAGTATATTCGCTTGGGCCAGTAGGTGTTCGGACCGGTGAATTCGAATGTATGAAACTCTCTTTTGCCATTTTCAATGAATTTTCAGCAAGGCTCTATTTGGGCGTCTCAATCAAATAATCTCACGTAGTTTAATATTATCATGAACTGAAAAGATGTAGCTAATCATGGTTTTTATGGAAATCAAATCAAACAGAAGTATTATTTTCAAATGTTTTGTTGTTGTTTTCGCAAAGCAATTTAAATCCATTACAATAAACAAAGCTTAGTATGTACACATTAATACATATGCATATAAATAGATTATAAATGTCTGTAGGTGAAATCGGGTGCAGTAGACTGCCAGCTTGGACATGACAAAGGCCTGTAAGCGGCACTGATAAGCACATGTTACCCAGCCGAACTATAAATAAAAGCCCAAGACACCATCTTACTGGCACTACATCTGCACAAGTCGTTCGCCAGTGTAATATATTCTGTAGATTTCAGTTTGAAGAGGAGCCACATCCGCTCTGTGCTTTCTTTCCCGGCTTAAGGCGAAAAAATTCCTTAAAGCTGATCGTGGGTGACGTGACCTTTTTGCCTCTACATGGCTTTTCAGATGCACTGGTTGATTCGTGCCCCTGTCCAATCATAGAGGCACACGAAGACGATGCTTCAGCCTTACGATTTCGGTTGACGTGGTCCGTGTTGCGATCTGCATTATTGAACGCATACCGTGATACACCGTCCAGGAACTTCAGATTAGGAAGAACTTGAAATATGTATTCGCGGGCATGGGCTGCAGGCATCTCGGAGCCCTGGTTTTTGAACACAGTCTGAATTCCAGGATTCCCCATGCAGGAAAGTTGTTCTAATGAGGTACATTGACGCTCTATGCGATGAATCCAGTCGGTTATATTGCAAATATCGCAGTTGTTTATCCTACACGATAAACATAGAAATAGTCACATGGCAATTACTTCGGCTAACTGATATTTCATCCTTACCACAAAATTTTTAGGTTGGGCAAGTAGGGGAATGTGTTGACATCTAGATTGCTATTGCGGTCCAAAATGAGCGTATGTAGTTCTTCAAAAAAAGAAAGAAATTTTAGATTCTGAAAATTGTTGTGACTGAGATCGAGAAATTTGGTCTGCGCAGCAAACTTGTCTGCCAGTCTTCGTGGAATGGTACATAAATTTTCGTAGGCCAGTGAGATTCGGTTGTCCTCCTCGAGCACGATGTCCGTAAAAGTCTCTTCGCTGCCGCAGCTGCTGTTCGATATAAGTCCACTGAACGAGCATGGATTGGGAGTGATCATCTTCTCCCCTGTAGTAGACGAAATGTACACGTCGTTAAAGTCGTTGTCTAGCGGAGGGCATGGATACAGCGACTCCAGCGACTGAATGTTAGCACACGTCTTAAGCACCTCTTGCAAGCGACAATTGTTGCTGTGTAAGGCATAACGATCAATAAATATAACTTCCACTCTAAACCATTACAAGTAATAGACAGATACCTAGAAAGATCTTCTGAGTGCGAACGGGCAGACGCTGATTCTTCAGACATGCCTGCACCAACTCATTACCAGATAATTAAATCTTAATTTTGAATAGCGTTTGCTTTCGTCAGTTTGGGTTCGCTGGGCTTAGGTCCAGTGCTTTCAGCAGACTGAACAAAATAATCACACAACACTCGCCACCCAGCGACAAGAACAGAGCAAGTGACAAAAGCGAAGATTTTGAGTCTTTTAGACTCAGTATATACATATGTATGTATGTACATACATACATGTATGAAAGTGCATATATATGCGCACACAATTACACATGCATATAAAGCAGCTACATATGTATGCTTGCACATGTAGGCATATCTCTTCGTATACAATCTCACATCGTAAAGCATCCACACAAGCGTGTTTACACAGCACAACAATAGGAGAACGTACTGCTTAATAGCCAGGGTTTCGTCTTTGTTTATACTCTACTTGTACTAGTTGGGGCATGACTGCACATTGACTCTGTTTCATCTGTATCGTAGGTTTTCTGCCTATGTACGATATAAATTAACGGTATATCTAGAATCTAGAATACTCGCTGTTCTCAGGCTTGAAGTTAAATAAAAGGCATATCAGCTCACATAAATCTGGGCGCATATTACATATTTTTGACAAAGATTAT